TAATTAGAGCAATAATCAAATAATGCTAATTCCCATGCTCCTAGCCGTTCCGTGTCTGCTGCTGTTTTCATTTCGGCCATGAATGACATGGAGATGAGCTGAAAAGATGTTCTTGGAATAGATCAATTCAGAACAGCATAAAAATTTCTCTTTAACCTTAACGTATTCTATATTCGTTATATTGTAGTTTTCAGTAGTTTTAACACCATAGAAATTGCGCTCTAGGTGCAGTTTGATGCCCCGCAGATCAGCTATGGGATAGGTTAGTTGTAGTGACATCGATCCTGGGTTTAACGTCTTTTGGTAGAGGGATTGCTAAATAAATAATATTGAGGAAGGAATGGTGGTGATGAATATAACTTTCTGAACTCACGAGAAAATACCCGACAACCACGTTCGAATCACAGTAGTGCCCGCAAAAGTTACCGTAACCGACAGTACTGCCGTCGGATACGGTAGCAGTGAGATTTTTCGAAATATGCACCATGGTTTGCACAGCTTCCTGTATTGGTAAACATAAGAATATGGTGTGAAGGTAATTAGATTACCATACCTGCAGATAATTTAACCGATGCATGGAGCCGTTATCTTTGGCAAGCATTAGCACTGTAGTCATCGCAGGATCTCCTTAAAAGAAGCGAATTGACGCAGTCTCAATACAAAAGGTCTTTGCTTGAAAATGTTAGTAAACCTTGGGATCCAAGAAATTCCCGGTAAAGATCCGTTTCCAGCCGAGACCGTGACGTACGTGGTGTATAACCATCTCGTACATTATCTCGTAAGTGAAGCTTTACAATCCCGCCTGTAAAGTTGAATTACGTTGAAAAGTCAAGCGTGACGCAAATTTGAACTTACATGATAATGAACAGAGTATAAGACCCGAAATAAGAAATGCAAACGGAAATTGTCCAATGAACGTGCCCCAAAGTCGAAAGAAGCCCTTCAGAGATATCGACTTCAGCACGACAAGAAATTCACTTGTTTTGGTTCCTAAAAAGTAGGAAAGGATAGCATGACTTGTCCAAATTACAACTCAAATTACTTACTTGGTTGAATTAATATTGAGTGTGGATTCATAATCGGATTCGGTGGATCTCGCTTCGTGTTGCATAGCGGCGCCCTGCCCTCCTCAGAAGACATGACACGGATGAGGGCGCCTGAAAGTGCAATTTTGATTTGAATTTGTCGCCGTCGATGTTGACGATAACAAAAGCGTAGACGCGAAGAGAAAGCTGGTTAGAGGAATATAAAGCACAGGTGATGGAAATGACTCATTGATTGCCAGTCAATTGACTCATCTTGACACTTCAGTGAAGTGTGGATTGGTCTTAAATTAACTAAGTAGAGTGAAAGAAATGAATTTCAAGAAATTAAAAGAATCCAGTTTCAAGTATGTACGTGAAGAAAATCTAAGCAAGACGTGACTGAATGACAAGATGTGTGGGCGAATGTATGTAAAGTCCAAAAATGATATGTATGACAGAAAATGGCCATAAACTACACATCATTATTGATAGGGCAAGAGATTGAGTATATAAATTTTAGAAAAGGTAAACGAAGTTGAAGGGTGAAGAAAATTAGGAGCGGTTTCAAGAAATATGTAAAGAACGATGATAGGAGAGCTTGCAAAAATAAATGAGAGCTGAGCGGTAATAGCATGACTCAGGATGAACAGTTTGCAAAAATGCAAATTTCAGATGAAGATAGGCGTGAGCTTCGTGGTTGGAATTAAAAATTAGCGGAGAGTTAGGGCATCACTATTCTTGAAGCCAGTAATGAGAGGAATGAAGTAAAGGAAGTGCTGATGATATCCTCATATGAATCAATCTTGAAAATGCCTTGAATATGATTTGTATTTAATTCAAAAAAAAAACTGGGTAGAGATTAGTTTTTTAGAGAAGAAGTTCTTCTCTCATGGTCTCGTGATAGGTGTCACTATGCTTTTGAAGATTTTGACCGAACTTGAACGAAAGAGAAACTATTCGGACTATTAATGACGTATGCAATGGACACGAAGACTATGAAATAAATCTCATGAAAAATTATGCAATAAAATGAAAGAAGGGGTTTTTTCTTTACTGTTTCTTTGTTATTTCTTTAAAAAAGAAAGAAAGAAAAAGTGGGAATCATCCAGACAACTCTTCACAAACTCAGTGTAGATTTCACGAAATAGGTCACAACGAAAGAGCTCAACCAAAAGACGCAGACATCATGCCGAATACTTTTTCCTATTCGTAGTAACCTAATACTGACTGTTTTTCGGTCACGATGCTATAATTTTCGACATTCTACATCTGGCGAAGGTTTATTGTCGAACATAAACGTTAACACGACGTTATTCGTTGGAAAATATAAATAAGCATAACCTTTCTTTGCGGCAGTGCCACCAGCTCGCCTTGAGAGAGAGAGGATAGTACGCAGACGAAAAATCAAAGTAGATGATGCGGAACGAAAACCTACAATGACAACTGCTCCGTCTATACGAGCGTTGTGGTTGCGAACGAAACCAACACCCATTGCGCCGTTCTATGGTCAAAGATTGGCCTTGAATTTGGCGAAACAGCTCATCATGGCTTTTAGGCCATGAAAGCGCGTGATTGTTTCCCATTCGACATGTGGTTTCAGTATTTTATGAAATACTGGTGAAATTCTTTGAAAGGAAAAGATCTATGAGGCAAGTTATGATTTCAAATATTGGAAGATCGCAAAAGGCAAGGAACTGCTGTTTGGAGCTGATAAGGCAAATAGACAAATATTAAGAACCAACGCAATCAGAGTATAACGGGTTGTACAAGAATGCTAGCACAATTCCTTATTTGAAACGCTGTTGCTCTTCCTTTTAATGATCAGATCTCTGTACCGGTGTGATCGAGCAAACTCAAATGGAAGAAAGTGCTAGTTGGAAAGACAACTCTTCGCTGATTGCACTGGAGAAAGTAATCCAAAAAGGCAATCGTTCAAAGTTAGAAAAGATCCAAAAGATAAGGAATTAAAGAATACCTGATTGAAACCTAGCATTAGAAAGAATCGATTCTCATACTAGAAAAAGTTGAAAAACGAAACGAGTCGTACACAGTCGTTACTGTTGTAATCATTACAATGTTAAAGTGTGAAAAGGGGAAATGGCGAGCCATCGGAGAAAGTTGGTGAGATTTATGTGCAGAGCGCAAAAAGGATGCGCATCGTTTACACCTGACTACATACGTTCACATACGAATGCAGCTTTAACGAGTGTTAAACTATAGAGTCAGCATTAGCATGTAGCATTGCTACTATATGACAAATGTGAATTTTTAGTCCATGTATGAATTTTATTCGCGCAAAATTATCAAAAGCTTGGAATAGCCGAAGGGCGTAATAGTGTAATCTACATTCATCAGTAGAATCAATAAATCTGCTCCTACCAGCAACAAAAGTTCTTTGAGAAAAATTGCTGCAGAGGGTTGGGTCCACCAAGCATCAGAGACATGTGAAAGATGAATTGGGTCGAAATTGTTAATCCATATCCGCTCTGAAAGTAATGCTAGTGGTTGCTTTGGTAACCTTTTCTTGCTATTTACTTCTGAGAAAAGCAATTGGTATGCTTCTTATTCTTAAGAAAGGAAAGATCTAAATTTATATTTTGCACACTACAATGAGGAGAAAATGAAGTTGGAGCAAATCTGCTCAAAATTTCTCTATCAGTGCACGGCTCATTCTGAAGAATTGTTCGCACACTTCTCAATCAGAAATGAATATTTTTTCTATTATACAGAGTAGCTTAAACAATGCTGTCAGTGCAACGGTTAGTAACTGTTTTTGGATCCAAGTTCAGATTAGTCCTTCAAATGAATCATTAGGGTCTGGTAACGGTATAAACATCACATTTTTTATGAGACACCGTGTATCTCTGTCGAGATCAGCCTGCACGATGCAGAACTGGTAGTTGTTCTAAGGCAGGCAAAAAAAAA